TTACACGCATGCACAGCCTGATAATAAATTTTGATAATCAAGAAAATAAGAAGAAACTATGTGTACAACTTCCCTCAGAATGAATGAGGAAACTGAAAGAATTATTACTGCTAAACCTGAATCTTTGAAAATAGTCTCTATACAGACTATTTCTTAAGTTCCTCATTTTTAAAGTTACGGTATTAGATAATTTCATTTTCTATATATTGCAGACTATTGTGTTTGCATGCAACTCTTGGAAGCTAAATTATAATAAATATATTGGGACGGTAAATTCATTTCCCAATACATCCCCTGCCACCCCTTGAAAATGGGAGTTTCCTTTATATCTGCAGTTTAAACATTAATTCTCTTTCCTGTGCAGAGAGAGATCTAAGTCTTTTTCTCTTGTTTACAAATTTTAATTTTCAATAACTTAACAAGTTAACTAAAATGCATGAAAGATTATTATTTTACATGCAGCACAGCTGTCTTCAATGGGGGAATATATCACTATTCAAAAGTAAAGAGCCTAGCAATTTACACTTTTTTATTGTAAAGAAGCAACAACAGTTCCATTGAATAGGCAAGTTACTACTGCAGAACTTTTACTTTAATCCCTCCAACTTTTTGGAAAATGTTGAATATCTAATATAACTCTGTTTTTCTTTATTTTCTGACCATGTAATACCCTTCTGATTTCTGGTTTCCTTCCCCTCTCCTTCTTTATCTCCATTAGTTCAAACACACATATCAGAGCACATTTAACTAGGACAAATGAAAAGTATATTTCACTGTCAATTCACTGCCCTTTTCTCAAATGTGTGAATATCTTGGTTATATCATCTATCATTACATAAAGCCTAGTTATTCACATGACAGCAAGATATGATCATATCAAATTATAAATTATGTTGTACTAACTGAGGAAATAGTGCACTAGAATTACACCAGTCTGGATTTGTTTTACAGCAGCCTATTACGCTGCATTGCAGATGGCTACCCTGTCCAGGAAAGCAGCTTTGCAGTCACTGAACATTACACGATATGCTGCATTTGGTGGTGAAGCCAGTCTAAGTTCCTCCTTCCTATCTCACTCTTGGTTCCTAATTCTACTACCACAGCATATCTTACCACTCAGCTGGTAGGCAGCCCAAATTCAAGATGAGGAACACTGGTTAGAGATGTGAACTTCTTTAACAGGCTAGTGTATCCCTAAACATACTATACTCTTTTTGGTTGTTTTTCAGGACCCACTGAACTGCAGCTATACATAGAGCTCCACCACTAAAATAGACAGATGGTAAAAATACTCCTGACTGGAATATCTTTTCCAGTTCAGTCTGTGAAGTGCAATAATAGAAATCAATGCAATTACAGAAATTACAATTAATACTTCTACTTTTGCAGATATCCAAATAATTCTGGCTATAATATGCTTCATTATGAGATGTCAGGCCTGAATGTTTTTAGCTGTGTTATGTAGAAACCAGAAGTAGAGACTGAAATCAGACAATATGACAAATCCTGAAAATAACATTTTTTAATCCTCTCATTAAAAGTGATAGGCAATTGATTGCTACTGTCATAACTGAATGAAAAGTGAATTTTCTCTTATATTCAAATTAATTGGTTAAGAGGGTTTTTACTCATGTCAAGTGACAGGAGGTATCAGACTAACCTGTAACAATGTTCTAGAAAGCTAAAGGAGCCAACAAACATTCCTATTATGAAACTAAAACTGACTTAAACGAGCAAAGAGTCTAAACCTTATAGACCAATGTACTCAAACATTAACATTGCAGATAAAATAGAGAAAATCTATTCAAAACTATATGCAGTTACTATCATAGGCATGAAAAACATTCAAAAACATCTGTCGAGAGACAGAGGGTGAACACATTAACCCTGTTATGAAATACAGTTACAATCTGCCTCCACTGTTAGCTCAAAGATAGTTTTTGAGTATGACTTCTGACAAAGTTCCTCTTGGAAGATGCATTAACAGGTGTTAGCAGTGGATGAAAGACAAAGTACTCCTGAACCAAAAACCAAACAAGAGGTGAGCTGTAACGGAATGAGACTGTATATGCAGCTTTTCTGTTCACCTACATGAGGTTCAAACAACAAAATCTCAGTCCAACTAGAATTTTCTGTCTAAGCATGCAGGTGAAAGAGCTATTAATTTCCACACACCGTATAGTAAGCCCAGAGGAAAAAACAGAGCAACATTTTCCCAGATTAAAAATATCAACAGAACACAAGCTGTAAACTCAGATAATAAGCATAAATTAAATTATGTATCTTTTATATAAATAAATATATATTTAAAACATTAAGGTGAAGAAGGCAATGTAGGCAAAAACCTCAGTTCTGGTCAATCCCACTTACTAGCAACACTGAAGGGTTATTAAGTATAGTTCAGAGATCTGCCTGTCCATTGTTTCTTCAAATTATTTGTATTTTTTGTTATTGCTTAGAGGTCCTTAGAACATAATAAGAACAAGTAGAAACCAAGCACTTAAGAGCTGCAATAATATCCTTCCAAACACATTTATGACTTTGTTTTCAATTACTGTTAAATAGTTTAGAAATGTTAAAGTAACTTTAATTTTTAAAGAGCATGCAGACTTATCTGATAGAATTCTCTGGAGGTATGTGAGAAAAAGCATTAATGACAATGTCAAATAAATTACCTCCCCTCTATACATCCCTTGTCAGTGTCAACAAGTACTGTATTCTAAATACAAAACAAAGGTTTATCTTAAAAACAAGTAAACACTGATTCATAAAGCAGGAGTAAAGTTCATTTTCCTACAAAGATATGTATTTATGGAAAAACATCATTTTCTGGTATTCACAACTCAATCACGAGTAGTGAACTGCCTGTTGAACAGCATGTTCAATATTTTACAGTTCAAACTTTAAATTACAACACATAGGTAGGTTTCACTCAACAACAGTTGCTACAATCTTATTAAAACATCTTTAGAAATATCTCATCTCCTAGAATTTCAGAGTCCCTTACACTTTACTTTTATTAGTGACATTTTAGGAATAAATTTATTTTGGAAAGAAGCCTAGAAAAGCAAGTATTTTTTAAGTCAGACATGCTATAATTGTTGGATTGACGCTATCTAATCAAATCCTTACTTGTCTACTCCAGGAAATGGACACCATGTGTCAGATAACAAGTTTTTTTTGAAAGAATGCCCAGCATTTTCAGGGCTGGGTTTCAGAAAGATTAGCTCTATGAACAGTACAGTTGTCCAATGGTCCACAGGTGTTTCACAAGAATTTCAATGGAAACTGGGGTATTTATTTACACATTCCACTGCTGCACTGGAAACCCAAACACAGCAGCTTTGAGTATGATATAAAGCTAACAAACAGTTTATCATCTACATTAAATGATATGGATACAGTAAACCAAAATAATGCATACACACAGACTTTTTCAATCTTTAAATTATTTTAATGCCCCTTTAACAGAGAAGTCATCTTTGACTGCAGAGACTGACAGTCAGATATAATTCCATTACACTATTAATAACTAAAAAAAAATCCCAGCTGACTCTGGATTTCACAAGTGGTTTCCATTACTTCTGAATTTCATACCAAAAACAGCTTTGACAAAACAATTTCATTTCACACTACAAAGGAGGTTATGGTTTACACAATTTACGTAATTGCTACATTAGCTGTAATGAATAGCAGACAAAAGTGACGTAAAGGTCAGAAGCTGTCTTGGAAAATCTAAGTTATTAAGAAATTACTTAAGATTTAACGGAGCCTCGATGCAGGATTGTTTTCACAGTACAGTGCTGGCATCATCAGTGAACCTGGTGACCACAACTAACATTGACACTAGAAACCCTTATTTTATACCACATTTCATCATAGCTTTACAAAGACTTGCAGGGTTAGCCCCATTTGTACAGACACAGAAAGGCTTGGGCACAAAATGGCTTGTTCAGTCAGTCAGAAAGGTAGCAGCACAACATCAACAGAAATATCTCACCCAGTCTCACTCCACAACTTTTTGGTTATTTTTCTAAAGTCATCGGAGAATCCATACCAACTGCACCCAGAACTCATGACACTGAAAAAGCATTTAGTATCTTTTCCACTTGATAACATTTTTGTTGGGAAGACTGCTGATTTCTCAGATTATTTTGGAAATAAGTCCACTAGTTATCTTTCAAGTGCCCTGCCAGACAGAACCAGCAGACACAAATTTTTTGCAGATGTACCTATAGTGAAGCAGGACCACTCAAACAACTTGTCCCATACACATTGAAAACTTTATGCAAGTATGAGCTTTATCAGAACTGGAAGTTACAACACGCAGCAGATAAACACAAAAGCCGTAAGACCAGAAGGACTTCAGGCGTACAAGGACGCTGAATTTTCCCACATTAGCTCTGCCAAACAGAGCGCATATACTCTGGGTCAAATAACATGATAATGGCAGCATCCTCTCAGGGCTGTCGCAGTGGACCGATCAACCCCATTTTCTGGAGGCAAAACCCAACAAGAAGAGTCAATGGGAAGGGATCTCCAGAGCACCTTACAGAATGAAGGAGGTTGCTACCTACTGTGGCCTGGAACTCATAATATGCTAGAGAGGACATCTGGAGATTGCACAAAGCTTATAATAAAACTTTTTAAGGAAAAAAAAAAGGGACAAGCAAAAGGGGCAGATGAAGGTGGTTCAGGGAAGAACAAGCACAGGAAAATAAAAGGAAAAAAGCAGCCACCTTTAAACAGGTGACTGGTCAGTATGCTTGTCCAGCAATGCACTGCACCCTATTGCCACAGTCCGCATCATCTTCTTACTAGACTATATTTCTAAATATTTTCCTGACTGAAGGGACTCTATTTTGCATACGTGTGTATGGAAGTGTACATGCCACCCACTGGAGCTGGGCCACACACAGGTCAGAGGGCCCGGGTACCTGACGTGCCAGCAAGCAGGGCAGCCAGAGCCCATAAGGAAGGGACCTATAGTGTGTTTTTACCTGTGGGAGCACAGGTCTGAGTACCAGCAACTGGACTGGGAGCTGTGGGCCTTTCTGGTTCATATGCCCATGTGCCCACAGCTGAGGTGTCCAACGTTGAAGTCAAAGAGCCAGCTACTGAATAGATTGAGAGTGTAAGATCAGTTACTGGAGAGATCTATATTCTGTGTGTCTGTATATAGATATATGTATATTCATTCGTTTCCACAAACGGGCTTTCACCCTGATCGGCCAGAGAGGAAAACAGGATGCGTCCATCGGTGCTGCTTGTGTTTGCCCGAGCGCTGTGTTCTCTGCCTGCAATGGCCTATGCGTTGTACATACACATGCCTATTGGGAATACATGCTCAGCCTCACTACTGGCTGGACCTTGGGACACAGAGCTATGGCAGCTCTGCTTCTATCGGGCTTCAGATTTAGCAGCTCTTACCACAAAGAAAATTAAATATAAATTTGATAAAGCCTTCTGAATTATAATTCCAATCATTATAGAATCAAGGCGATAAGTGGTTGTGAAATTCTCTTTTAAAACTCCACTTATTACACAAAGTATTATCAATTAAATGAACCCTAAAACAGAAAGATCATAATCAATGTAATTAATTATGAGGAAAGAAGAGTGAATTAACTGCAAGACAGATGTTGAAATGCCTGAACTGGCTCCAAGAGGAGTGATTTTCATCCAGCAACGTTAGTAACCCAGTTCAAGTGCAACGCTTTCAAGATGCACTTGGCTCCTGAGGTCACACACCTGCTTTCGCACAACATAGAACGTCCCTGTGCTATGTCTGTGGTCAGGGCACATGAAGAGTGGGAGATGAAGACGCTCAACCCCACAGTCATCCAGGTGCGTCAAAGTGCATTTGCTACAGTTCACACGCTTCAGTATCCTTGCAGTGCTTACTACCTAGCTTTTCAGAGTAATATTCATTACCGGCTGTAATAAATGAATTAATGTTTGTTTCTTTCACTCTCTATCCAGCAGAACACCAAATAATGCCACCATTGCATGATCCTTATATTAGTATTTCCTGAAAGTTTAGTAATTACTGTATCATTCATCAGCTTTAAAATTCTCTCATGATACGTGGCAGGAAATAGTAAAGAGCATCTTACCAGCTTTGGGCGTATTTAGCGTTTTCATTTCCACCTTGTTACACTTATTAACGCTGAAACATGCTTTTGTAGTCTTTACTTTTCCAGTTGACTCCACAGACTGTAAAAAATTAGCATTTTTATTCTGGCCAGGTATTTTAGAAAGCAATGAAGCACTTCCTTCTTTCTCATCTATCTGCAAAAGAGAAACAAGTTCACAATAGCATTTCCTTCATGCAGTTGAAGAGAAATAGAGAAAAGAGCAGTGAGAGGGGATCTTAATAGATGCTAATCCTCATTATCAAACTATCTACATAAATTTAACATCCCTACACAAATATATGCATCCCAGCGTTCACAACAAAAAGCATATGCACACAATACCATACACCACTTGCACAAGTAGTTTATGAATTTAATTTAATAGAAGTCTTCTGTAGGTAAAATCAATAAAAATTGTGATGCTTTTTTTGGTTGATATTAAAGGTTTCAGAGAAAGTTCCTTGCAGCAACTTGTACTGGCATTTCATTCCTAAGTATCTTGGGTTTTTAACTGCTTTTGCCAAAGCATTCCAAACACTCGAATCCAAGCAAGCCCACACCAAGATACAATCCATGCCTCAACTACACTGAGAATTGTATTTGGGCTCAATACTGATTACTTTCATTTATTTGAAAAACATTTTTCTGCATCCACTTCACGAGAGTGAGCAAAACCTACCTGAGAAAATAAAATGTAGCAAGAGCAAGGGTATCAAAGTCTATTCTGAACAGGTTGATTATTCAAGCAGCGATTGTTTGTGGTGAGCTCAGATGCTATCTTTTAGTAACAACACAGTTCAAACAAATACACTTTTTAGCACTTTGTAGAGTTTACCTCCTTTAATTTCATTTCTTGGTCTATCTCCTTAGTTTCGTTCTTGAGACAAACCGTGGTACTTTTTCCTGGTGGTATAAACCTTGGCTTCTTGGCTACATTTCCTAGCACTTGACTTGGAGCTGCTGATCGCCTCATTTTTACTGCTCTGGAGGGTGGAGAGGAAGGAAGGAAGCAGATAAAGACAACTGTAGTCAGAATAGGCTTTAAATATAAAAATATATCCATAGGTAACAATGTAAGCACTATTTTAAAATGAAATACAGCATAAAAGATTTTCAAGTAACTATCCTAATTCACAAGCATAATACAACTTAAGAAAAAGCAGTATCGTTGCAATGCATTTTTTAAGTACTAAGATAGATCCACTACAGCAAATTCTGCAGTTGAACACTTCTTTTTTCATTTGAAAAGCCAATGATGCAGTTCTCAATAACAAGAAACACTCTGGAGATGCGCAGTGTAGTGCTGCTTAACAAACTTACACCAGTTTATAAAAAGACAGACAATTTGGAACAGAACTAACTATTCTAAATACCTAAAACATAATTTTGAAAAGCCCATTATTAGTGCAAAATGAACAGCGAATGTTGAAGGTATGTTTCATAGCTGGGAGTAATATTTTGCATTAAACAATTATATTGGTCATTCAGATTCACTACCTTAAGATTAGAATTCAGCAGAAAATTATCTCAAAATTACAGTGGAGATTATCACTCCATGTTATCCATGTTACAGTGGAGATTACCACTTCCATTTGAACAGTGGAAGGAATGTAGTATAGGTTTTTCCTTAAAATATAAGACTGTTATTCCCCTAAACAACCTCAGGACAAAACCAAACATACACCAATGTTATTATGACAAAGCATACTTGCAACCACTAGAATAGCAAGTTATATCTTAATATTTCAAAGTAGTAGAAACAAAACAAGAAAAGAAAATTCCAATAGAATAACCCAGCAGCTGGTATGATGAAGACAAGCATGATACAGCAATTTATGGAACATACTTTGATTTAATTCTCCATTCATACATTGACTGTTTATTTTAATTGATCTCCCCAACTACTAGGTAAAAATAAATCATAATACAGATTGCAGACACATACTTCTCTACCTCTCTACCATCTTGAAATCATGTTTGCATCCTGTTGAAACAGCCAGTGTGTTTCTGCACTTTTTTGACGCTACTCTGCACTCCAGTGGCTTACTAAGGTACAACAACCTTTCTTGCCAAGATTTGCACAGTAGGAAGAGTACTGTCAAAATACTTTGCAAACATGCAGACGCTAACGTGAGTACTGCTGTCTCCTTCATATCTGAACAATTATCATATGCATGACGCTGTTACTAGATGTAAACCTTAATGGCAAAATGGCCTGAATTGTCACTTCCATGATGGCTGTTATTAAGAATAAAAGGAAAGAGGTTTCTTAACTGTGTCAAGAGCAGTTCGCATAAGTTAGGCCTCCTCAACAACAGTGTTAGCATATGAGCTTTAGTTAACCCTATGCAATAGAGGTGTAGCTTGATTATTATAACAGGAGTACCTGCAGCGTAAACAACTGGTAGTCACGGAGAAAGCTGCAAAGGTATCAAGAACATTCCAGAGGCACAGACTGTAAGTGTCAGCCCTGACCACAGCCAGCTTCAGGTGCCATGTGAATTGGAACAAGTTCTCTACCCAATCCTAGAATGCACGGTGACACTTGGGAAGACAACCCAGGACACCCCACAACTCTACACAAGAACTACGCATAGCATAGCTGAACTGCTACACTACCTCACTGCCCACTTCACTTCTAGAGCTTGTCACATCTCCCATGGAACAGGGGAGTTGTGCAATTCATAAATTGCATGTATCTGTGATTAAAGTGTTTTGGTTTCCAAATCCATTTGGACTTTGCACTATCATATGGTCTGAAACCACAAAAACATAGTCATTAAGAGATTTGCAAATTATTAGGAAATTTAAAAACATGACCCTTGATAACTCAGTAACTTCAATCCTGTTATATTTAAGAACATGTAATATTACCAGCATTACCTACTTGCAACTACAAAAACCATTAGGGGTTTGTGTTTCTTAAAATATAATATTGCTTCCAGCAATACACATCCTTCTCTGTCTTCAAAATATAAGCTTTTATAAAATATAATAAAAATATAAAATACAAAAATAATAAATAAAAAGTTTCTATTTTGTATCTTTACAGTACTATGCAAAAAAAAGGCCACTATGGATGTGCAACAGCTGATTGATGCTAGATCTTTTAGATGGGATC